TGCTGTAGCTACCTTCGGTTCTTTTTCGCTTATGCTTTGCTCATACTGCGAAGATTACAATCTTTCGGCTGAGTGCAAGATTGCTGAGTCCGAATCTTCCTGCTATTAGATCTGCGTATATTTGAGTTTGTTAAATTGCAATGTGCGTAGCCTGATGTCTGTACAATTGAATTATATAACCGCTTAATATTATTGCTTAGAAGCGGAGATAGAAGCGATCGAGGAGAAAGCTGCTGAGCTGAATACCAAACTCCTTAGGCTGCATAAGCAGAAAAGGATGTAGTATGAAAAGATAATATATGCTGTTTATCAGGGAATTGATAATGTGGAGAAGTTGAAAAGAGTGGAAGCAGAGAAGCGAGCTTGCATTGCTGCTGGGATTCGTTCTATAGTTGCAGAGGAATCTGCTGTAGTTGCTGGAGATTCTTCTTTTGAGAGTTTTGATTGGAATTCCGTGGATATAGGGAATGCAGTGATGGATTGGTTGGGTTTTCTGGAGAATGAGATTTCTGAGAGCCCTGGATCTCGGTTCGGGGCGGAGTGATCGTCTTAGATGCTGGTTTTCCTTTTCCAATATTCAGCTATCTTTTCCTGAGCGTTTTCAACGTTCTTTCGTAGTTCCCATGAATTTTCACTTGCTAGGTAATCTTTCCACTTGATGAGGTATTTCCTTGTATTGTTTGTGCTTCTATGCTTGAGGATCTTTTCCATCTTATACTCTGATTCATTATTTTCCATTTCTGCTGTGTTGTCTATTAGTATTTCCTATGCTGCTAGTTCTAGCAGTAAAATGTGGAAGATCAGATATATTCTTATCCTATGAAGTAATGCTAACTCATAATTAACTGAGGAAATCTGTTGCAAGATTTTGAATGATTCTAACTTCTTATAATCGAGTTTGTTGCTGAGTTTGGTTGTTTTGATGTTTTTTCGAAGTAGATAGATCTTATCTTTCTTCTATAGGATTGATCTCTTAATCCTTTTAGAGTTTGCATACTGCGTTATTCGTTCTTGAATGAATTGTAATTCTGATTGGAGTTCCTTCTAAACTTTCTTAATCTTCTTAATTCTTTTATCTGCAGCTTCTGCATCTGCTCTCTGCAGTACCTCGTAATAAGCTATTGAGTTGTATTTATAAAGTATGAAGAATGATAATTTCTTTGTTATGCTTGTATTTATGCTATTATAAGCGAACTGTGTAAGAAGCAATAGATTAATCCAATTATTCTGTTTCTGATTGATATAGTATCGAAAGTACTGTTCTACAATCTGATTCATTCTTTCTGTTTGTTTATCTGTTTGTAAGTGAAATGCTATGGATATTCTGTAGTATATTCCGAGTTGTTTTATAAGTAAAGTTCAAAACTTTGAATTAAACTTTCTATCTCTATTGGAGATCACTTCTTCTAGTATACTATAGTTAGCAATGATTATTCTAAGGAATGCATATATAAGTTCCTCTGCTATACTGCTTTTCTTATAGGAAAGAAAATAAGCATACTTGCTCAATCTGCAAACCACTACTAGAATGCTATTATATTGCACCTTAGTTAAGGATTCTTATAAGAGAGATAGCTTGATAATAAAGTTTAAACTGATAAATTATCAAATAATTATAAGTATTGATAAGAAGTACAGTAGTTCGTAAAGCTTATATCTTTCTGCTTTATTCTTCTTGCAGCTATTGCATTATTATAGAATATTTTCAATCCTTTTTCTAAGATCTGATAGATTCCAGTATTTTTTGATATATTTGTAGATTGCTCTAATTCTCTGATGTTCGTATGCTGATATACTGTATATATTCTTGATATAGTTGTCTTGTTTATCTGGAATTATTGATTCTGGATCCTTCTCCGAGGATTCTATTCTGAGAGCAGCGTTCAGTTTTTTATGTGCATTAACGAGATTTTCCGACTTGTTTTGAGCGAAGATGTTCTGTATGTTCAAGGAATCTGCATCTCAATAGTCTGATCTTCTGCTGAGAGCATTCGCTTATTCGTTTTCTGAGCTTTTGCAGTATATAATCTTGAAGTTGAATTGTAAGAGGAATTCTGCTTATCTGACTTGTTGCTTATTCAAAACCTTGATTGTTATAAATATAATCAGATTCTTGTGATTCGAGTGAATTATGATTGAGTATTGTATGCTAATGAGATAGTATTGCTACTTCTTGAAGGCTTTTATTATTGCTATGAGTTTCTGATTAGGGATTCTGTAGTTGATTTCCGGACTATTCAACTTCTTCGAGAAGTTGCTTATAATCCTTAGATATTCTTGATTATTTTGCTAGCTAAGTTGTTCTCCGAATGCATATTCTAATGCATTAGTTTCAACTTTAAAGGGTTTGTAGAGGTCTGCTTTATATAGAACTAGCTTTGAGATGATATGCTTGATGATCTTATTAAAAGCTTCTTATATTTTGGAGATCTATTCGAAGAGTTGATTCCTTTTGGTAAGATTCGTAAGAGGATGTACGATTTAGCTATAATTCTTAATGAACTGTTTATAGAAGTTGATATATCCGAGGAAAGATTTAATATTTCTAATATTCCTAGGAATTAGCTAGTTCTTAATAGCTTCCACCTTATCTTTTTGTAGCTTAATGCATTCTGGCTTGATTGTAAATCCGAAATAGTTAACTTTTTGTATATGAAAGTAGCTCTTTGCAGGCTCTATAAGGAGCTTTGCATTCTGGAGCGTTTGCAATACTGTTTCCATGTATTTCTTGTATTCTTCCAATGTTCAAGAGTAAATAAGAATGTTGTTGAGATAGGCAATGATGAACTGATTCAGGTGCTTGCATAGAATGTAATTAATCATTTCCTGGAATGAAGCTGGGGCGTTCGTTAAGCTGAAGGGCATGATTAAATATTTGTAGTGTTTGTAGTGTATTCTGAAGGCAGTTTTCCATTCTTTTCCTTTCTTTACTCTGATTAGATTGTAAGCTTCTTTTAGATTTAGAATTATAAACCACTATGCTTCTTGCAGCTTATCTTATAATTTCTTGATGAGTAGCAACAGGTATTGATTCTTAATTGTAATATTATTGAGTTGCTTGTAATCAATATATAGCCTAAGCTTGCTATTTTTCTTCAGTATAAACAGAATGGGATATTCTGCTAGTAATCGCGATGATTGTATATATTCTTTCTTAAGGTTCTCGTTGAAGTACTCCCTGAATGCCTCTAGTTGTGCTTTATTTAGCTTATAGATGGAGAAGAATTTGAGCTATTTTTCTTCTTGTAGCAGGATTTTGTAATTATACAAACTGTATTCTAGTAATCCTATATCTAATTCTTTCTGAAATAGTTTCTTGAACTTGTGATATTCTCGTGATATGTTTGCAAGTGTTGATTCTGGTTCTTATGCTGTTTCTGCTATCTAGAGGAATAGTAGATACTGTTGAGCGTGCTTCTCTTCTGATAGCGTTTTCGAGGGCTTTGAGCGTTCGCTCCGAGCTAGAGCGAGTACTTAAGAGCTTAGTTTCGAGGTTTTTCCTGTATAGATCTATAATTCACTTTCTGAAGCTTTTCCTTGTTGCTCCGGAGCAGACCAACTTGCTGAGAGTCTCGCTTCCATTGTTTTGCTAATCTGTTAGCGCTCTAGTACTATTTGGATTCGCTTATTACTAGGTTCTTCTCCTTGAACTGCTAGCTTTGCTGATTTGGAAGTGTATATGAAGTTGTTTGAAGCTTCTTTTCCCGAATATTCTTCAATAACTAGCTTCGATTCTGCATTGTTAATTGCAACTATCTCTCTAGATATAGCTTGTTCTTATGAGATCTGGCTAGTAGTTCAATTAATTCGAGAATTATGCTTCTTAAGCTATGGAAATCTCATAATTAGCTTATATTGTGCTGTATTCGTGATATCAAAAGAAGCTCTGATTGCACATTCTTGGATCAAGATAGATAGATAATCAGTCTTCTTATTGATTACTTCTTGGTTGTATGCAACAGATTGTTCTTTCATAGTGCTAAGAGTATATGAGTATCTCTTTCATTTCCATTGTAGTTGTGCCTGATTGATAATGTATAGGGATATGAAGTTTCCCTGAGTGCTACTGTTCAATAGTGCGCTGTATTTGTATCCTTGAATGTATATATTGAACTTGATGTAAGCATAATCTGTCTTGAAAGCTTCATATAAGAACTATTTCAGTCTAATTGTTTGTAGTTCCTTTATAAGCGATTCTGTTCTTTTGGATTTGTTAAGAACTGCTTGTTCTTCTAAGCCTGCTTCGCTGCTTTTTGAGCAAGCTTCTTAGCTTGCTTTTACCTGTATTATTATTATTTCTAGTCTTTCTTCTGTTAATGCTAGTTGCAAATCTTATTATTAATGTAAATTGTGCAGAATGTTGTTTTATACTGCTACCATTTTATCTTCTTGTTTATGCATTGCTTGGGGCAGTTGTCTGGTAGTTTGATGTATGCATTGTGGTGCTGTTTGTTGAGAATCTTTCTGAAGCAGAGTTTCTGTTTTTCAACAGCCTGAAGGATTTGTTCTGATTCTCTAATGGGAAACTATTCGTGTTGCATCTTGTTCGAGAAATGTATTCTGCAGCTATAATAAATGTAAGAGATCCAAGCTAGTTTGTAATGTAGATTGTAAAATAGGCTGATTTGAGGATTCTTATCTTCTTGTATCTCAATGTTCTGCAAGGGAATGCAGGTGAAGAGCTCTTTCAGCTTTATTCTGTAAACGAGATATTCAATCTATGTTGTTTCTTTATTCCATCCAATGCTGAAGGAGAATCTTCCTGTAAGCTTTTTGAGTTCATTGTTGTTTGCAGAAAGCTTTTGCAAGCTGCTAGGTTGTTTGCTCTAGCTTGATTCTTTTATTGCCTGAGAAGCATTCTCTATATTACCTAGATGTTCATATCAGTAGCTAAGAGAGTATTATTTCTTATTCATATCTCTGATTATAATGTCTGGTACAGGTAATGAAGAATAGCGAAGAGCACTGTTGTTAAGCTCTTTCTCTAGCACCTAAATACTTCATTCAGTAATATCGGAGCAGTTCGAGTTGTTGCTGCTTGTAGTTGTGCTGAGCGTATATCCTCGCTCTGCTATTGCTATCTGCTTATAGCGCTTAGATTTCTGAGGAAACCATTCTGAACCTTTCTTACTCGAGAGGTATATTAAGCAGTTGTTGTTATAGCAGAATATTCAGCTGAGACTTTCGTAATTAACAGAGTTCGATATTTGCTCCAAGGGAGTGTTTTTGCTCAGTTGATTGAGTTTCTATTATCGAGCGATATTCATCTAGCATTCTTTCTGAATTAGTTGCTATTTGTTCTTCCGAGGTTGATAGCAGTTGCATGCAATGTGTTCTTATTTGTTGCAGTTGTAGCAAGTAATGCTATTCCTCTTGCTATACTGCTTATTAGCTGCATTGAGTTCTATAGGACTGGCATGCGTAGTACTGCTCTAAGCTATGCTGCTATATCAACTGCTGTTCTTATTTTGGAGTTTCTTGCTCGTATTAGCTGGAAATCTCCAAGTCTGGCTTCCTCCCTTCTTGGACTTCTTCATCTGTTGTTTATACAGATGATTGTTGATGTAGATAGCTTGATTAGAGAACGTTGCAAAGTTCTCCAGCTAATCCTGCTTGGAGATTTTATTTTTAATATTATCTTTGAGTTCTTTATAATAGTATTTCATAAGATTCTTATCTTCTTATGGAAGTTGCACTAAGAGCTGCTTAAATCTAACTATATAGGCAGAAGCTAATTTGATTTGCTTGAGGTTTATAAGCTGCTAAGCTGTAATGCATTCTTTGTTAGGATTATCAAAAGTCTTCTTGAAAGCCTTCTCAAAGCTTTCAAAGGAATCGAATATATTCTTAATATCCTAGGTACGTATGCTAGAGTTGTTCTGATGCTTCAAGTGATTACATAGAGAAAGCTTATACCAAATGAGAATATCCTTTTCGAAACGAGTTTCTGCAAGAATAACTTTCTCAGATTCCTTAGTAAACTAAGTCTCGTAATGCAGAAAATATGCTCTGCAGTGAGTAAAGAATTCATGCAGCATCTTTTGATTGCTATTATACATAGCAAGCTTATTCATCTTATACGCCTTTCCAGTACCACTAGTAACTGCAGAGATAGACTGCACCTGCTGAGCCTATTGAGCTAGCTGAGCCTGCTGATTAGCAATGATAGCGCTCTGAGCTTGCTGTTATTCGCGCAGATCCTAGATATGCTGGATAAGCTGGTATACTTGATTAATCAGTTCTTCCTGAGTAGAGACGCGCAAGGACGAAGGGGTTCCTGAAGAAGCTATCGTATTCCGTATTGCTCAAGGAATAACACTGAACCGTTCTTGAACAAGAGTTATCAAAATGTAATGAGCACTGCAGCAATCCGAAGATTCCTAAATATACGAAGGGATTTATGCTAATAAAAGCGGTATCAAAGTATCAAATTCTTGAATACGGAACTGTACAAGTTCTAATAAGCGATGCAAGTATTCACTGCTTTTGGGGCTACTCAGTATATGAAACTGAATACTTAGATTGATAACTGAAGAACTATCTGAAGGAAATCTATCTAACAGTAGGGAATGTAAACCTTTATATATTTGGTTCTTCAGTTCGGATAGATAGAATTGATGTTGATTCCATCGATTCTCTCATCGACGGGATAGATGTTGACTGTATCTATCCGCTAATAACTCTAATTCTGAGTTATATAATCGATGCTTTGTTAGGACGTTGAATCCTTGATATCTGGTTCCTGTTACTCGTGATCTGTTCTGTGACCTGCATGTTGGATGAGTTATAACACTTATCTTCTTACGAAAGTCTTGCTAAGAATTGCTTGAATCTAACTATATAAGCAGAAGCTAACTTAGTCTGCTTAAGATTCATAAGCTGCTAAGCTATAATGCATTCTTCGTTAGAATTATCAAAGATTTCTTTGAAAGCTTTCTCGAAGCTTTCAAAGGAATCGAATATATTCTTAGTACCCTAAGTATATATATTAAGATTATTCTAATGCTTCAAATAGTTGCATAGAGAAGGCTTGTATCAAATAAGAGCATTCTTTTCGAGATGAGTCCCTGCAAGAATAACTTTCTCAGATTCCTTAATAAACTGAGTCTCATAGTACAGAAAATACACCCTGCAGTAGGTAAGAAATCCATGCAGCATTTTCTGATTGCTATTATACATAGCAAGCTTATTCATCTTGTATACTTTTCCAGTACCACTGGTGATTGCAGAGATAGACTGCGCCTGCTAAGCTTGTTAAGCTAGCTGAGCCTGTTGGTTAGCGATAGTAGCGCTCTGAGCCTGCTGTTATTCGCGCAGATCCTGAATATGCTGAATAAGCTGATACACCTGGTTAACCAGTTCCTTCTGAGTAGGGGCGCACGAGGACGAAGGGATTCCTAGAGAAGCTATCGTATTCCGTATTGTTCAAGGGAGTAATACTGAACTATTCTTGAACAAGAATTATCAAAATGTAATGAGCACTGCAGCAATCCAAAGATTCCTAAGTATACAAAGAAGTTTATACTAACAAGAGCAGTATCAAAGTATTAAGTTCTTAAATACAGAACTGTACAAATCCTAATAAGCAATGCAAGTATTCACTGCTTTTGGAGCTACTTAGTATAGAAGACTGAATACTTAGATTGATAACTAAAGAGCTATATACTGAATTCATCTAATGATGATGAACATATCCTTATATATTCAGCTCTTTAGTATGAATCATTGTCTGGCAGCATCCTGCGGATCACGGTGGTAATCCGGGTAAGCCTAGTGAGCTGTACTCCTGGTGCTCCTAGTGATCCATCCCTGTTTCCTTCCTAGATTATGTAATCAATGCTTTGTCAGAACGTTGGGTTCTTGATACCTGATCCTTATTACTCGTGACCTGTTTTGTGACCTGTATGTTGGATGAGTCATAACACCTTGCTTATGTAATTCCTAGTAGTTGTCCGATATTGAGTTGTGATACCTAGTTCCTTGTTAGCAGAGCTTGTTTCGTGATCTGCATGTTGAATGAGTTATAACATCATCTCTCTTCTATCAATTATTGTTTCTAATGATCTTCTGTAAGTATTCTAGCAAGTTATTTGCATATATAATCATATCTTCCTAATCGAGATGTTGAACAGAATCGAAAAGTCTCTTTCTCGAAAATCCGAATAACGCTTTCAGCTTTCTCTAACTATTAACCTTCAAAGTTTTGAAATCATATCTTATTCTTTCTGTATTTCGAAGAAGTTGGAATATAAGATGATAAAAGATATTAAAAGGTATTCCTGTTATATTCGCTAAGATTGTTCCTGCAATAATTCCGGTATTCCAGTAAATGCTTATAAGTTTGCTCTTTCCTAAGTTATTTCTTATTTGCTTTCTGATCTCTCTAATAGTATTTCATATTATCACTAAGCTTGGTTATTTAGATCGGAAAGAGTTAGATGCGGAGGAAGTTCTTTTCGAGCTTTAGTCTAAGTTGGATAAAGCAACAGCTTGTTTGATGCGTTTGCAGAAACAGAAATGTTCCCTGCATAATTGCAACGCGAAGATGGTTAGTTAGGATCTGCATTCTCTGAACGAGCTGGAGAAGAAGGAGCGTTGGGAGGAGAATGCTCAGCATGCTGCTGAATCTGAAGCTGTAATTGAGGCTCAGTCTTGGGATGCTCTCGATGTGGTGGATTGGAATAACGTTTTAGATGAGATTGCAGCATCTGATTTCTGTTCTGAAGCTTCTGGATCTCGGTTTGGGGCGAAGCGATCGTCTTAGGTGCTAGCTTTCCTTTTCCAATATTCTGCTACCTTTTCCTGAGCGTTTTCAATATTCTTTCGTAATTCCCATGAGTTTTCGCTTGCTGAGTAGCCTTTTCATTTAATGAGGTATTCCTTCGTGCTATTCATACTTCTATGCTTGAGAATCTTTTCCATCTTATACTCTAGTTCGTTGTTTTCTACTTCTGCTATATTGTTCGCTAGTATTTCCTGTGCTGCTAGTTTCAGCAGTAAGATGTGGAAAACTGAATATATTCTTATTCTATAAGATAATGCTAATTTGTAATTGACTAGGAAAATCTATTATAAGATTTTGAATAGTTCCAACTTCTTATAATTGAGTTTGTTGCTGGATCTGATTATTTTAATGTTTTTCCGAAGTAAGTAAGCTTTATTTTCCTTCTATAGGATTAGCTTCTCAATCCTTTTAAAGTTTGTATACTGTATTATTTGTTCTTGAATGAATTGTAATTCTGATTAAAGTTTCTTTTAAACTTTCTTAATCTTCTTAATCCTTTTATCTGCAATCTCTGCATCTGCTCTTAATAGTACTTCATAATAAGCTATTGGATTATATCTATAGAATATAAAGAATAATAACTTCTTCATTATGCTTATATCTGCATTATTATAAGCAAACTATATAAGAAGCAATAGATTGATTCAATTGTTCTATTTCTGATTGATATAGTATTGAAGATATTGTTTAATAATCTGATTCATTCTTTCTATCTATTCATTTGTTTGCAGATGAAATGCTGTGAATATTCTGTAATGTATTCCGAGCTGTTTCATAAATAAAGTTCAAAACTTTGAATTAAACTTTCTATTTCTATTGGAGATTACTTTCTCTAGCATGCTATAATTAGCGATAATTGTTCTGAGGAATGCGTATATAAGTTTCTCTGCTATATTGCTTTTCTTATAAGAAAGAAAGTAAGTATACTTGCTCAGTTTGCAAATCACTACTAGAATGCTATTATATTGCACTTTAGTTAAGAGTTCTCATAAGAAAGATAGCTTGATAATGAAGTTTAGATTAATGAATTGCTAAATAGTTGTAGATATTAGTAAGGAATGCAGTAGTTTGTAAGATTTATATCTTTCTGCTTTATTCTTCTTGTAGCTATTGCATTGTTATAGAATGTTCTTAATTCTTTTCTTAAGGCTTGATGGATTTTAGTGTTTTTTGATGTGTTTATAAATTGCTCTGATTCCTTAATATCCGTGCGCAAGCGTATTATATATATTCTTGATATAGTTGTCTTATTCGTTTAAAGTTATTGATTCTGAATTCTTTTCTGAGAATTCGATTCTAAGAGCAGCATTCAGTTCTCTATATATATTGATAAGATTCCCTGATTCGTTTTGAGCGAAGATATTCTATATATCTAAGGAATCTATATCTCGATAGTTTAATCTTCTGCTAAAAGCATTTACTTGTTTATTCTCCGAGCTTTTGCAGTGCATAATCTTGAAGTTGAATTATAAGAGAAATTCTGCTTATTTAACTTATTGCTTATTCAAAACTTTGATTGTTATGAATGTAGTTAGATTCTTGTGATTCGAATAAACTATAATTAAATATTGTATGCTAATGAGATAGTATTGCTACTCCTTGAAAGCTTTCATTATTGCTATAAGTTCCTGATTAAAGATTCTATAGTTGATTTCCGAGCTATTTAACTTCTTTAAGAAGTTGCTTATAATTCTTAGATGTTTTTGATCATCTTGCTAATCAAGTTATTCCCTGAGTATATATTCTGATGCATCAGTCTCAACTTCAAAGGGTTTGTAGGGATCTGCTTTATATAGAACTAGCTCTGAAATAATATGCTTAATGATCTCATCAAAGGCTTCTTATATTTTGAAGATTCATTTGAAGAGCTACTTCTTTTTAGTAAGATTTGTAAGAGGATATACAATTCAGCTGTAGTTCTTAATGAACTGCTTATAGAAGTTGATATATCTAAGAAAAGATTTAATATCTCTGATATTTCTGGAAATTAGCTAGTTTCTAATAGCTTTTATCTTATCTTTCTGTAGCTTGATGTATTCTAGCTTGATTATAAATTCGAAATAGTTAACTTTTTGTATATGAAAGTAACTCTTTGTGAGTTCTATAAGAAGCTTTGCATTCTGAAGCATTTGCAATACTATTTTCATATATTTCTTATATTCTTCTAATATTTGAGAATAAATAAGAATATTGTTGAGATAAGCAATAATGAACTAATTCAGATGCTTGTATAGAATATAATTGATTATTTCCTAGAATGAAGCTAAAGCATTTGTTAGATTAAAGAGCATAATCAAATATTTATAGTATTTATAGCATATTTTAAAAGCAGTTTTTCATTCTTTTCCTTTCTTTACTCTAATCAGATTATAAGCTTCTTTTAGATTCAGAACTATAAACTATTATACTTCTTATAATCTATCTCGTAATTTCTTGATAAGTAGCAATAAATATTAGTTCTTAATTATAATATTATTAAATTGCTTATAATTAATACATAGCCTAAGCTTGCTATTCTTTTTAAGTATAAACAGAATAGAATATTCTGCTAATAATTGCAATAATTGTATATATTCCTTCTTAAAATTCTTATTAAGATACTTCTTGAGTATTTCTAGTTATGCTTTATTTAATTCATAGATAAGGAAGAATTTGAGCTATTTTCCTTTTTATAGCAGAATCTTATAATTGTATAAGCTATATTCTAGCAATCCTGTATCCAATTCTTCCTGAAATAGTTTCTTAAACTTGTAATATTCTTATAGTATGTTTGCAAGTATTAGTTCTGATCTCTATGCTATTTCTGCTATCTGGAGGAATAGTAGGTATTGTTAAGCATGCTTCTTTTCTGATAGCGTTTTCAAGGGCCTTGAGCATTCGCTCTAAGCTGAACTGAGCGCTTGAAAGCTTGGTTTTGAGGTTTTTCTTGTATAGTTCTATAATTCATATTCTGAAGCTTTTCCTTGTTGCTTCGGAGCGAACTAACTTGCTAAGGGTTTTGCTTCTATTGTTTTATTAATCTATTAGCGCTCTGGCACTGTTTGGGTTCGCTTATTACTAGATTCTTCTCCTTAAATCATTAGCTCTGCTAACTTAGAAGTATATATAAAGTTGTATAAAGCTTCTTTTCCTGAGTATTCTTCAACTACTAGCTTCGATCCTGCGCTGTTAATTGTAATTATTTCTCTGAATATAGCTTGTTCTTATAAGATTTAATTAGTAGTTCAATCGATTCGAGAATTATGCTTCTTAAGCTATGAAAGCTTTATAATCAGCTTATATTATACTGTATCCGTGATATTAAAAGAAGCTTTAATTATGCATTCTTGGATCAAAATAGATAGATAATTAGTCTTCTTATTAATTACTTCTTAGTTGTATGCAACAGATTGTTCTTTCATAATGCTGAGAATATATAAGCATCTCTTTCATCTCTATTGTAATTATGCTTGATTAATAATATATGAGAATATAAAGTTTCTCTGAGTATTACTATTCAATAGTGCGCTATATTTGTATTCTTAAATATATATATTAAACTTAATATAAGTATAATCTATTCTGAAAGCTTTATATAGAAACTATTCTAATCTGATTATCTGCAGTTCCTTTATAAGCAATTCTATTCTTTTGGATTTGCTAAGAACTGCTTATTCTTCTAAGCTTACTTCGCTACTGTTAGGGCCGATTGTGCCAGCAAGGCTCAGGGCCAGCTAAGCCAGCTGGATTACGGATGACTAAGCAATATGCGGCTATAAAGCGGCTTTCTAGCCACGTCAGCACTGCTGAGCAGAACTTAGCTCCTTAGGCCTCAATGTTATTCTGGTTGTATGCCCCTGAAAGAGAGAAAGACCTCGCCACATTGCCTTTGCAACCTTTCCACCTGACAGTTTGAGGCCTGGCTCTTTTAAAGGAGGCAATCCGGCGAGGCTTTCTATCTTTTTTTCCCTAGGAGCAGCGCTAACACTGAGCAGAAGCAGAGCAAACGATCAGACCACTATCCTTTTCGAACCTTCGAGCCTTTAACCTTCGAGCCTTTGACCTTCGAGCCTTTGACCTTCGAGCCTTTGACCTTCGAGCCTTCGATTTTCGAGCTTTCGAGCCTTGAATACAGCGAGCAAGCAGTGCTGAGCAAGCAGTATGCAAGCAGCGTGCGAGAAGCGTTCAGAAGAGATTCAGAGCATTCGAGTCGCTAAGCTAGAGCATACAGCAAGCAAGCAGTATCGAGCAAGCAGTATGCAAGCAGCGTGCGAGAAGCGTTCAGAAGAGATTCAGAGCATTCGAGTTGCTAAGCTAGAGCAAACAGCGAGCAAGCAGTATGCAAGCAGCGTGCGAGAAGCGTTCAGAAGAGATTCAGAGCATTCGAGTTGCTAAGCTAGAGCGAACAGCGAGCAAGCAGTATGCAAGCAGCGTGCGAGAAGCGTTCAGAAGAGATTCAGAGCATTCGAGTCGCTAAGCTAGAGCAAACAGCGAGCAAGCAGTATGCAAGCAGCGTACGAGAAGCGTTCAGAAGAGATTCAGAGCATTCGAGTTGCTAAGCTAGAGCAAACAGCGAGCAAGCAGTATGCAAGCAGCATGCAAGAAGCGTTCAGAAGAGATTCAGAGCATTCGAGTCGCTAAGCTAGGGCAAACAGCGAGCAAGCAGTATGCAAGCAGCGTACGAGAAGCGTTCAGAAGAGATTCAGAGCATTCGAGTTGCTAAGCTAGAGCAAACAGCAAGCAAGCAGTGTGCAAGCAGCGTGCGAGAAGCGTTCAGAAGAGATTCAGAGCATTCGAGTTGCTAAGCTAGAGCAAACAGCAAGCAAGCAGTATGCAAGCAGCGTGCAAGAAGCGTTCAGAAGAGATTCAGAGCATTCGAGTCGCTAAGCTAGAGCAAATAGCGAGCAAGCAGTATGCAAGCAGCGTGCGAGAAGCGTTCAGAAGAGATTCAGAGCATTCGAGTTGCTAAGCTAGAACAAAGTGTGTTCTTCGCTATTCAAGCGAGAGAGCAGAGTGAGCAAGCAGTAGATCTGAGTATCTTCTGTTTTCGAGAGTGTGTTCTTCGCTATTCGAGCGAGAGAGCAGAGTGAGCAAGTAGTAGATCTGAGTATCTTCTGTTTTCGAGAGTGTATTCTTCGCTATTCGAGCGAGAGAGCAGAGTGAGCAAGCAGTAGATCTGAGTATCTTCTGTTTTCGAGAGTGTGTTCTTCGCTATTCGAGCGAGAGAGCAGAGTGAGCAAGCAGTAGATCTGAGTATCTTCTGTTTTCGAGAGTGTGCTCTTCGCTATTTGAGCGAGAGCGCAGAGCTGAAGCGGAGTGTCCGCTTGGCAACTGAAGTTGCTTGGGTATTAGGTTGCAAACCAATTATTCTTCTGTGCCTAGCGGTGGAGCGAAGCGTGGCAACGGCTTCAGAGTTGCTAGAGAGCAACTCTCAAGACGGAAAGCTGTAATTATCCGTTATAGCTGCAGGGATGCTGTTCTGGATGCTGAGCTCCTTGGCTGCAAACCAAGTTCCTGGTGGAAGGCTTGCAATCTACATCAAACAGCTTTAAGTTCTGAAGAGTGCCTGGATAAAGCGCTGAGGGAGCAGCGACTGAGCAGCGTATATGGCGCGGGTATTGCACTCGGAAGACTTACGTCTGGAATGTGATTAAAAAGAGATTTTTTTTTTTCACAGGCTTCGGGGACGAAGCCAGAAGAGAAGGAGGGAGATGGTTGAGAGGCCTTGAGAAGCCTTGAGAGGCCTGAGGCACTGAGAGACCTTGAGAGGCCTTGAGAGGCCTGAGGCACTGAGAGACCTTGAGAGGCCTTGAGAGGCCTGAAGCACTGAGAGATCTTGAGAGGCTTTGAGAAACCTGAAGCACTGAGAGATCTTGAGAGGCTTTGAGGAACCTGAGGCACTGAGAGATCTTGAGAGGCCTTGAGAGGCCTGAGGCACTGAGAGACCTTGAGAGGCCTTGAGAAGCCTGAGGCACTGAGAGACCTTGAGAGGCCTTGAGAGGCCTGAAGCACTGAGAGATCTTGAGAGGCTTTGAGAAACCTGAAGCACTGAGAGATCTTGAGAGGCCTTGAGGAACCTGAGGCACTGAGAGATCTTGAGAGGCCTTGAGAGGCCTGAGGCACTGAGAGACCTTGAGAGGCCTTGAGAAGCCTGAGGCACTGAGAGATCTTGAGAGGCTTTGAGAAACCTGAGGCACTGAGGGATCTTGAGAAGCTTTGAGAAGCCTGAAGCACTGAGAGATCTTAAGAGCCGAAGCATTGAGAAGGCGTAGGAGCAGCTAGGAAGCAGCGAAAGCCTGGAAGCAACGGAAGCTTGGGAGCAACGGAAGCTTGGGAGCAACGGAAGCCTGGAAGCAACGAAAGCTCGGAAGCCTCAAAGGCCTTGAGGACAAGGCCTGATAAGGGGGGACAATCTGTTAGGGCTGATTGTGCCAGCAAGGCTCAGGGCCAGCTAAGCCAGCTGGATTACGGATGACTAAGCAATATGCGGCTATAAAGCGGCTTTCTAGCCACGTCAGCACTGCTGAGCAGAACTTAGCTCCTTAGGCCTCAATGTTATTCTGGTTGTATGCTCCTGAAAGAGAGAAAAACCTCGCCACATTGCCTTTGCAACCTTTCCACCTGACAGCTACTTCTTAAGCAAGCTTTTTAGCTTGCTTTTGCTTATATTATTATTATTTCTAATCTTTCTTCTATTAATGCTAGTTACAAATCTTATTATTAATATAAATTGTGCAGAGTATTGTTTTATACTGCTATTATTTTATTTTCTTATTTATGCATTGCATAGAATAGTTATCTAGTAATTCGATATATGCATTGTAGTGCTATTTGTTGAGAATCTCTCTGAAGCGGAGTTTCTATTCTTTAATAGCCTGAAGGATTTATTCTGATTTTCTGATAGGGAATCATTTGTATTACATCTTATCTAAGAAATGTATTCTGCAGCTATAATAAGTGCAGGAGATCTATGCTAGTTTGTAATGTAGGTTGTGAAGTGAGCTGATCCGAGGATTCTTATTTTCTCATGCTTTGATGTTTTGCAAGAAGATGCAAGCAAAGAGCTCTTTCAGCTCTATTCTGTAGATGAGATATTCAATTCATATTGCTTTCTTATTCTACTCAATATTGAAGAGAAATCTTTCTTTAAGCTTGTTGAGTATATTGTTTGCAGAGAGCTTCTGCAAGCTGCTAGATTGTTTGCTTTAGCTTGATTCTTCTATTGTTTAAGAAGTATTTCCTATATTGCTTAGATATTCATACTGGTAGCTAAGAGAGTACTATCTCTTATTCATGTTCCTAGTTATAATGCTTGGTATAAGTGATGAAGAATGCTGAAGGGTATTATTGCTAAGCTCTTCTTTCAATGCTTAGATGCTCTGTTTCATAATATCAGAGCAGTCTGAGTTGCTACTTGTAAGAATGCTGAGCATGCACTCTCGTTCTGCTATTGCTATTTGTCTGCAGCGCCTAGATTTCTGAGAAAATCATCCTAAACCTTCCTTACTCAAAAGATGTATTAAGCAGTTATCATTATAGCAGAATATTCAGCTGAAACTTCCATAATTAATAGAATTCAATATTTGCTCTAAGAGAATATTTTTGCTCAATTAATTGAATTTCTGTTATCAAGCAACATTTATCTAGCATTCTTTCTGAACTGATTGCTATTTATTCTTTTGAAATTAATAGCAATTATATATAATATATTCTTATTTATTACAGTTATAGCAAGTAATACTATTCCTTTTGCTATACTGTTTATTAGCAGCATTGAGTTCTATGAAACCAGTATGCATAGTGCTACTCTGAGCTGTATTGCTATATCAACTGCTATTCTTGTTTTGGAATTTCTTGTTCATATTAGCTAGAAATCTTCAAATCTAGCTTTCTCTCTTCTTGAACTTCTTTATCTATCGTTTATATAAACAGTTGTTAATGCGAATAGCTTGATTAGAGAATATTGCAAAGTTCTCTAGCTAATTCTGCTTAGAGATTTCATCTTTAATATTATTCTTGAGTTCCTTATAATAGTGTTCTATAAGATTCTTATCTTTCTACGAAAATCATACTAAGAGTTGCTTAAATCTAACTGTATAAGCAGAAGCTGATTTGATCTGCTTGAGATTCATAAGCTGCTAAGCTATAATACATTCTTTGTTGAAATTACTAAAGATTTCCTTGAAAGCTTTTTCAAAGCTTTCAAAAGAATTAAATATATTCTTAATATTCTGGATATGCATATCGGGATTATCCTAATGCTTCAAGTGATTATATAGAGAAAGCTTGTATCAGATAAGAACATTCTTTTCGAGATAAGTTTCTGCAAGAATAACTTTCTCAGATTCCTTGATAAACTAAGTCTTATAATGCAAGAAATACGCTCTGCAGTAGGTAAGGAATCCATACAGCGTCTTTTGATTATCATTATACATAGCAAGCTTATTCATCTTGTATACTTTTCCAGCGCCACTAGTAATTGCAGAGATAGACTGCGCCTGCTAAGCTTATTAAGCTAATTAAGCTTATTAGTTAGTAATGATAGCGCTCTAAGCCTGCTATTATTTGCATAGATTCTGAATATACTGAATAAGCTGATACATCTAATTAATCAGTTCCTTTTGAATAGAAACATGCAAGAACAAAGAAGTTCCTGAAGAAGCTATCATATTCCGTATTGCTCAAGGGATAATACTGAATTGTTCTTAAACAAGAATTGTTAAAATGTAATGAGTATTGCAGCAATCCGAAGATTCCTAAGTATATAAAGAGGTTTATGCTAACAAGAGCAATATCAAAGTATTAAGTTCTTGAATACGGAACTATACAAATTCTAATAAGCAATGCAAGTATTTACTGCCTTTGGAGCTACTCAGTATATGAAACTGAATACTTAGATTAATAACTGAAGAGCTATATACAAGATCTATCTAATGGAAATGAATATATTCTTATATATTCAGCTCTTCATTGTAGCTCACCTGGCTCACTGTGATCCGTAATCTGCATCGTGGTAATCCATGATCTGTATCGTAGTAATTCAGTAAGCAGCTTACCTATGTTATCGTGATCCAACCCTAACCCTTGCTTATGTAATTCCTGGTGGTTGTCCGATGTTGGGTTGTGATACCTGGTTCCTTGTTGGCAGGGCTTGTTTCGTGATCTGCATGTTGAATGAGTTATAATACAGAAGCAAATGTGAAAGCTGCAAACAAGAAGATCAAGAAGATTAAGAAAGTTCAGAAGAAACTCCAATCAGAACTACAATTCATTCAGGAATGAATAATACAATATGCAAACTTCAAGAGAATTGAGAAACCAATCCTACAGAAGGGAGATAAGATCTAGGGTTAGGGCTAGGGCTAGGGTTAGGGCTAGGGCTAGGGCTAGGGTTAGGGCTAGGGCTAGGGCTAGGGCTAGGGTTAGGGCTAGGGCTAGGGTTAGGGCTAGGGCTAGGGCTAGGGCTAGGGCTAGGGCTAGGGTTAG